TGTCCATTCCATGCACAAATGTAGATTATGTCCATTCCATGCACAAATGCCACGCCCACTCGTACCCATATGTAGATTATGTCCATTCCATGCACAAATGCCACGTCCACTCGTATCCATATGTTGATTATGTCCATTCCATGCACAAATGTAGATTATGTCCATTCCATGCACAAATGCCACGCCCACTCGTACCCATATGTAGATTATGTAGAAGACGCCGAACTGCAGCGTCAATGGACTGTGACGCGTATGAAACGTTTCATTTCCGTCACGCACACGCTTACTTCTCGCATACTGCATCACGTGATCACTTCATTAGCGAAATCTCGCTCGCATCTCCGAGCGCCGTTTTCACATTTTGACAAATTATGACAATTTTGTCAGTCGCCGCTTGTACCTCTCTTGAAAACACAGTGTTGATTTTTAGAGAATGTTTTCGAACTCGCTGAGAAGATCGGGAAGCTCTTCGAACGTCCCGTTTTGTCAGGTTTCTTGCTTATTCATGAAAGACTTGCTGACCAGAATGATTATAAATCTTATAAATATGTTGAGCTGGGATTCCATCGTAATGAACGTAATCACGGTCCGATCCCAGATAAATATTAAATTGAATTAGTTAGTCCCAAGTTCAACTTGGTTTAATTCGCGTGCACATGAATACAATAGTAACAATGGGTGGTGAGACTGATACCTACGATGGCCCATATATACAATTTGTCCGCTACATGAAAATCCGTCCGCTACTTTAACAAAAGTCGGTCAGCTACTTGAAAATCGGTCGGTTTCTTGAAAATTGCTCCGCTACATAAAAATCTGTCGGCTAGATGGGAACTATATAACGGCATGGTGTAAAACTCGTATGTATACTTACTAAAAGCTTGCTACACGTGACGTACAATGAAGAGTTTAAATTTAAATCGAGAGCAATGACTTGACATAAACACGGAGCTCTTTAACTTAATATTGGGAAGAAGAATACTAGACGCGTGATAATACGCGTTTTGCGATAACATATATATGCATATACTCAGTATACTTAGTATATATCGTTGTTTTGCGATAACGAGCATACTAGTATATAATTTTCGCTGTTATTGTAATTAACATTATTGTTGTTGTTGTTGTTGTTGTTGTTGTTGTTGTTGTTGTTGTTGTTGTTTAGAAGTTAAAATGGTATAGATATACATATTGTTTTTCAATTATAAGTGTATGTATTATTATTACCGCCGAGGGAGGATACATGTGTTCACGTGGTTTTGAATCTTCACTTGGTTTGTTTTTACTATACGATGTCGCACAGCTTTATCTATCTAGTACTCGAGTACCAAATTGTAATAGTTCATATATAATTTTTTTCCCAAATAGTGTTTATTGGTAAATGATCCGTCATGTATTAACTGAATTCTGTCTTCTCATTTGGGTATAAATGTACAACTATTTGGAGGGAGTCGGTGACTACCAGAATTTTTCAATGTGCAAAAATCTGAAAACTGTGCACTCATGGTCGTAAACCATTGTCACCAAGTTGCATTAAGCAATAACTTAGGCTTAATAAGTTTGACGAGAAGCAAAATAAAATTACTACTATTTACTAACATACTAAGTAGTTGCAAATGAGTAATATTTTATGTTTTCCCCTTGTTGCAGGTGCTGCATACAAGTCTAATTATAATGGTGCTCCTGAATACAGTGTGACTCACGGTCCAGACACGTCCAAAAAAAAAAAAAACTCTTGTTCCAGACTCGTCCATCATTTTAAACATTATAATTATAATCATCCTATTTATTTAATCAACAAAATTGTTTTTATATTTTCTTCTGTCTGTATTTAATTTTTTTAACGAACCTTTGCTGGCGAAGATGTATCAGGAAATGTACACATTTGTTGGAAGTGAAACAAATATTCAATGTAATGAAAACAATTATAAAATGCTGTGGAATTTCTTTTGTAAATAAAAATATACTAGCAATTTTCTATTAATGGTTTATTCAAGTGGGCAAAATATAATGTACAGAAAGATTGCCCGTAGAGTATCGCTGCACTGAAAAGTAAGCAACCGACAGCCTGTATAAAAGGGGGGCTGTGATTGGCTGTTACTTACGCGAGATTTGAACGGGACTTGCATTGGCGTCGGATCAGATGTATGTAGGGCGGAATTAAAAAATATCAAAATCAAAGTAAAAAAATAAAAAGGCATTAATAACAAAAGTAATAAAAAAATAAAATTAAAATAAGTTTATAGCCAAAATAATTAAAGGCCGTACACTTCATCAGATTTTAATCAGATTGGTTGACAACATGAAGACGCTCGTTTTATTAATTTATAGGTGAATAAAAGCCAAACTGTGTAGTAGTAAAGGCATGAACTAACTGATTTTAGTGATGTAACCGTGATACACGGTACTGTAGATGTTGGTAACAAGTCGTCAGTTGTGGTTGTATAAGGTTAGAATGGCGCTCTGACTTATAACCTGTGCTCATTCAAAGCCTCCAGTCAGCATTCAAAGCATACATGTACGATGTTTCAAGTAAGCAGGTTGGTTGACTTCATTCCTCAGCTCCTGAGAGCGAGGTTATTTGTAGTTATGTTGGCGC